ATACTGGATGCTAAATTTTCTCCAACATTAGTGAAAAAATTTAAGAATGCATCGGATATTTGTCGTTTATCTGTTAATATTGTTCCATCACGATTCTTAATTTCATCAATATTTGGCTTTTCTTGAACGTCTTTGTTAGTTAAGTGATCGACAACTGACCACAGTTTTCTTGGATCAGATTTGGCATCTTGTAATTTTTTTAGATAGAATTGGCGTTTTGCTTCTCTAACTAGATTGATAAAAATATTTTTATATTCTTTATATTTATGGGAGGTATCTGAACTTGGCGATGCTTTCATTATTTTGTATAGTTCCTCTTTTTTGTTGGCAGACTTTATCAAACCTTTAGTTATCCAGGGATTCCTGCTTCTGTCAAAATGTTTAATTTTAACTCTGTTTGTACTACATTCAATTAAATATTTTATGCGTTCAATGAGTGTGTTTGCAGCATCATTAACATTCGTTGCACAGTACACTGCTGTCCACGATTCTAATTTGATATTTGCAAGTAGTTTTTTATTATCCACAAAACACCTAAATTTCACTGTTTCATTATTGGAGATGGATCTACTTTTATTTTTTTCTGGTGATGATATAAGTATTACAGTGGGTAAATGATCGGTAATATGGTTTTCAACAATTAACGGTGTGTATGAAAAATTTTTGATGAAACAATGATCAATGCAAGAACTGGAACTATTATTGACTACTCTTGTTGGTAAATTTATATTTGATATGAATCCATTGCTCTGCATTACAGTGAGGTATTTGTTTACTAATTTGGTATGTTGGAGTATATTAATATTCATATCTCCTATTATGATGTCGTGTGACTGTATGGCATTTTTGTTATCTAACAAACATTTTTCAAGATTTTCTACAAATGTATAAGAGTTTGATGGTGGTCGATAGACAGATGTGACTTTTACAGTTTTGTTATTAATTCTCAATATCAAATCCAAAACTGTGATACCGTCATCAAATTTAACAAAATCACATCTGTAGTTGATATCATTTCTTACATATACTACCACCCCATCATTCTGGTTGTACGTACCATTATTGTAAAGCGTATCATAACCTTCCAAACAGAACAAAGATACATCATTAATTTTCCAAGTTTCTGTTAATATTATTATATCAAATTTGTGTTTAATTGTAGTTAGGAAGATATTAAAACAGTAAAAATTTTGGTTTAGGCTTCGTATATTCATGTGATATAAGCTAACATTGAAATTAGAATATTCTAACCATTTATTAAGAGCATTTGCGTCTTGAGCAATATTTGTATTGATATCATTAACCTGAAAATTATTTACGTAACTATCCATGTAAAATTTTGCAAATGATATGTAGCTCGAAAAACGTAAAAAGAACTAAACGCTCAAAACATTATTCTGGATGAATACTGTTTTTGAAAATATAAATACGACGGGCATATTTTGTCTGTGGGCGAGTGACCAACATCATTATTCTTATTATGCTTAACGTTATAGTTCATACAGTTAGAACATTTTAAAATGTTTACAGTACAAATTTCACTTCTATGTGCTTGTCCACATTTAATGCACATTTCCGCGCCCCTACGTTTTTTGTCTGTGTGACCAAACTTCAAGCATTTTCTACACTGCGATATATGGTTATTGTCATAGACAAAATAAGTTGTGCCAATCTAGTAGTATTCTTGATTTCTTGTTGATAAATATGTCTCTATATAGCTCTCCAGAAACTTCAGCGAATATAGTATAAGAATTTCGGAATGGTATGTGTCGTACAAAAGTGATTTCGACTTCGTTTTCATTAATGAATGTATTTTGGGATATGATTTCTTCTTTAATTTCTGCTTCTGAAGGTTTTTTTTCAGTTTTGTTGCCTATGATCTTAATTTTCGGTCTCATTTCTCTTGCTCCTGATATATTGTATTTTCCCTTCAACTTAGTTTCTAGTTCATTTTTGAGTTTCTGGTAATAACATTGCTCAACTTGAATTTCGACGCCGCCGTTTTTATAATTATTTACTTTCTCTATCTTGACTTCAATACTTGCTAGATTAATGTTATTAGTTAGGTCTTTTCTGGTGTCATTATAATGTTGGGTCCTTTCGGGAGTAACTAATATGGATTTCATGTCATTGTTGTTCTTGTTGTTGCTATTGATTTTAGGAGTATTTTGCTTTAAAATTTGTGAGTATGATGTATTCTCTGACGTTCTTTTCTCAAGTTGTTCTAGTTGATCAGTTACAATAGCCAAAGTAGATACAACGGATTCCTTCTCTACTATGTTGGTAGAAATCAAGTCATATGCTTCCTGTAGTCTACGGTTTTCATTCACCAACTGATATATAAATCTTTCCTTTTCTTCCAAAAGCTGTTTAAGATAATGATTCTCTTTGACAATAGTTTCTTTGGTACTCTTTTCACTTAGGCTAATTTGAATATTTGGTTCTAGAGTTTCGTTTTCGCATTCATTTTTCTTCTTTTTGGTCATATTGCATATGAACACTCCTTATATCAATTTCTCATAAAGTTCACTTTGACAGAGTGAATTTGTCAACAATTGTCAATTTGGTATTGCGGCCGCAAAATAGTGTTAGATGATGGAAGGATCTCACCAATTAGCTCCACAAATCTGGCCGACCTCAGGAAATATTACATTACACAGCAGCAATTTTTCTCGACTGGGAAACTAATGAAATTGACGAAAAGTTCTACAGCTAGTTAAAGGTAGATATCTAGTAGTCTAGTATACATATGCTTTATGGATTCCATACTTTCTAATACAATGATATTTTTCAAACAACTATCGCCGTCTCTAGGTCATTCCGGGTATTTCTGGGACCACCCTCGTATTTTGGAGCATTTGTTGTGGCATACAGTGAATTATCATTCTGCAAAAGAGGTTGATTAGGTTAGTATTTGGTCTCAATCCACTGGAGAGCAGTACACTAGCATTTACAGAAAATAGAATTTTAAAGCTACTGGAAGTATTGATCTACGGGTCTTGCTCATTTATTGAAGTGTAGTGACATACTCGTACACACCTACAATACTAAACGTAATCATATTCATTCAAAATTTCATTATAAGTGTTCACATAAATGAAGCTTTACTATTCTATCCTATTATCGCAAAAACTGCATTCCAATATAATGATCATGCAACGATTGAGAGATCTAGTCGAACAGGCCTGAACAGACGAATTTTCATCATTCATAAATGCGCAGTGACAATAAATAGATATATCATAAGCTGTTGATGATACAAAGCTCCGTTCAACAACATATTTCTTCAAAAAAATAGGTTAACCTTGTATCACAGCAACATAAGTTCAAAAGGATCATAATAATATAAATGCAATTGAAAAGTCACCAGGTATATTGGTAAAAAAATTATATGAAAAGGGGGGTCTTGTGGCAGATCATTTTGAAGCTCCTGACGAGTACTTTATAACCCTAAAATATAAAGTCAATACCTTTACCTACTACTAAATGATGGTATATTTAATAAGTGTATTTAATCAGTTTAGAAGCTGCTGGAAATGGTTGCCTTGAACTTCTTGACAGACAAACAGCCGGTCCGCAATTTTGCATCGAACATTTTCAAACATAGTGACATCGATATTTCTACAAATATTTGTTATTCTCAGCCGTATATCCAATATTGCAGCAGGTTCAGTTTCGTACACCTTTTCCTTCAAATAGCGCTATAAAAAAGTCTAAAGCGCTGAATAAGAAAAATAATACTCTACGGAATAGGTCCTCCCCTATTCTCTGTAACAGTGCTCTTATTTTGTTAGGAAATTAGAAGATTATGACGAAGCAGCAAAATAAGAACATTGAAACTCTCTATTGAATCAAAATCACTCGTAATAAACATGTGCCCCTGTCACTGACAACTGTACTACTGGTTATCGAGATCTACGTGGAATCTTTGCGAGATTGCAATAAAACGATGACGACTCGGAGTAGCTTCACAAATGTTTCTCAGCCGATACCAAAAAACTCATGTTCACTGATTGTACGTTTGTGATCCATAAAAAATAATATTTCTAGATTTTTTGAAAATTGCACACGTTTATTGTCATTTACAGCACTGTAGCTAGTTATCCAAATAGCAGCTGCCCAAACATTCTCGCCGTCCAGCCAGCTTTATGGCCTCGTTTGAACAAAAGCAGAATACGGCCTGAAAACGCGAGAGTAATATCCATATAAATTACTACGAATTAAAATATTTTACTTCAGGGGGTCGGCGTCACACATCTCATATACATACTTCTCGCTTCATCTCTCCTGCCGCTATATCTCTCGCTAAAATAACGTAGCCTTTGGCACAGTAGCACACAATTAGAAATGGAAGCTTCATAGTACGGTAAAACACAGACATTTATCATATGGTGTATGTTTTACAAAAAAAACTTCGTATAGTCATCAGACAGATGAGGCGTATAGAATCAAATCCCGCTAACTCCAAAATGTAAAATTCTCCAGGAAACTACAAAAACGGCTGGCTAAATAATTTTTTGATATTTCACTACCAAATATTTTTTATTTACGTTTTCTAACAAAAAGGTATTCAGTCTGGCTAAAAAATCCAACATTATCTCAAGCTTTTTGCTACAAACAATGGTTTTTGTTTTGAGTTAGCGGCTTTTGATTGTGAAAATTGGTTATAGCGGGTTTTGATTTTTACTTGGTCTTCGAAGTACAAAAATAACAGATCTTGTTTGATCATTTTTCTAAACTTATTTAACTATATAAACAATAACAATGGTTCTCTAAATTAATAATGTTTATTTTGAACAACAAAAACTCTATTCCCTAACTTTATCGAAAACATTCTAAATAAAACAAATTCCTTGTGAACACATTCATTATACAGACCAGGCGTCTAGCTCTTCAACCGTTTCGCATTGCAAATCTGGAACATCTTCAATATTAGTGTCAGCTTCTTCTGGTTGGCGAAGTTCAATATTTGTGAAAAAATCTAAGCCTTCATCGAGTCTCTAGTTTTCGCCGTAGTGACCTTCTAATAATTTAGCCACTGCTATAACTTTAGCTTCTTTGACAGGAACGTTTGTAGGAAGCGGTTGAGGATCCATAGAACTGATTTTTTTATTTTTCTTCATAACACTTCTAGGATTACCGAATTCGGATCTGTAGTGTAGTTCTCCCTGAACTTTGATAATTCTGTATTTGTCAAGAATTATTTTAAACCTTTTGGAAGGATTAAATTTAAAGTGCCAGGCTCCAGGTGGCTTTAACCCATTTTGGGATTCCTTCTTCCAATCTAAAACAGGGACATCCACACCCATTTTTATTACAGTGCCATACTGTTCTATGTGTTCAATATACTGCTGAGGGGTAGAAATGATCTCTTGTTTTCTGATAGCTTTCTCTATATTTCCAAATACCCTGTCAGGTGGAATAAAACTATGTCCGACAACAGGAAAATTTATCTCAAGTTGCTTAATATTTGGTGGCGCATAACATTCAAGCCACTTAGAACACATTCATATCATAGTGGTGTTTTTGTTCTGACCACCGCAACCGTCAGCAAAAAGTCTAATGTGCGTTTTACTGTCCAAATTCAAGTTTTTTAGGCGATGGAATACCGCACTAGTAATTTCATTCGAGCTTTTAGGACGGACAGTTTCATTCCAACAATAACAAAATACGTTTTCTGGAGTTAATGTTGTCTTGGAGCTACCACAAACAATAGTAGAATTGTAAAAGTTATATTGTTTTGAAAAATATGCCTCTTGGTCAGGAAGTTTTGGAAGTGGCAAATTCTTTTGGCAGTCAAATGATAACGTTATCATTTCTGGGTATTCTTCTTTCAGTAAAGCAAAAAAGGCTTGCGCCTTTAGTTTATGTATAGTTTTCTGAGCTATAAGCGCAGCTTTTGTAGGAGGATCATCTTTAACCTGCTTAATTTTTTCACTAATCTGAATGCATGTGGAACATACATCAGTTCTGGGCGATCCGAAACCTATGTTGTATTTTGTACAAAATTCACGTCTAAAAAATGATTCTTTAACCATGGCACTGTCAAGTGCTGAATTTAGATACATTTGGTATAATTTTCTAGTGTTTAGTTCTGGTGGTAAATATACACGGCAAGTACTTTTCGACCTACAATGATATGACTTCTGGCATTTGAGGGATTCCAAAAAAGAGCGTATTGCCTCCCGCCTTCCTTCATTTTTCTTGCTCTTATGATCCCCACCCCGGTTTTCTTGTACCATTTTCCCAGTTTCAAAATGTCTTTTTAACACTCCATAAACTCTATCTTTATTAATATCCAATATATTAAAAAAAGCTGGTTTGCAAACTGGAATTAATTTTCCGCTTCTATTCTTTACGAAAAATTTGTAACTTAATGTCCTAGCTGGCTTCGATTTATTCTTTCGACGCTTTGGCACTTGAACGTTGGTATACTTTATAATGTAATTATCCTGATCAATTTTTGCAGCAATAGAGTAGAATCTTGAGTGAAATTCAGATATGTCAAATTTGGTTAAAGTACTGCATCGGAAGCTTTTCGTTGCGTGATTACAGCTTGGGACACCCGGTGGTCTTTTGGGCTTGTATCTGAAAATAATTGTCGAACGTTAAATAGATCTTTAGATTACAGAAATATTCAAGATCCAATTACTTTATTATCAAAATTAGATTCACTTACAAAATAAACAAAATCAATCTTAAACGTTTTTTTAGCAAATGTGCCTGCATTTAACAAAATGAAAATAATTATGCAATAACTTTACGATTTTGTCAACCATAATTAAGTAATTAAAAAATACACAGTAAAACTTACCTCTGAATCTTTAGTTTAGCTGATTTCCAGTTAGATTTATTTATTGAACGCTTTCGGGCTTTGTTCGGTGTGCATATTTGGACGGCTTTATTGTATTCGTCCATGTTTTCTTTAAAATCACAGAAAGCAATAATTATGATCCTACACGTTAAATATCTAAATATGAACTGACATGCATAAACTCGTGCCCGTATCGAATAGAGCATCGTCATTGGTCAAAATGGATTTGGCGGGCTTTGATTGTAATATTGGCATGGCGTTAGCGGGTTTTGAAACTAAACGTAAACTTTCGGCTTAATTATAGACTTGTTTTAGCGGAATTTGAAGGAAAATATTTATACAGGTAGATTCGTTGGAAAATTTCCTATAGGACCGGCAGAAAATACCATATTTGGAAAAAAGTGGAATTAGCGGGGTTTGATTCTATACGCCTCAGATGTAAACACTGTGTTGCAGGCGAAACGTAAAAAAATGCGTCTTGTCACAAGCTTGTTATCCTGGCTGTTAACGTTACCTGTTCGAAAAGACTGATCTTCTTAAACTTCAATGGAGGAACTCGGCAAGAAGAACGTGGTTACTTTTTTATTGAAAGTAAAATAAAGGTTGTGTACAGAAAAGTTGTTTCGAGCCAGAAACGTTTCGATCTGTGAGCGACTTGAGTTCTCAGACACAGCAACCTAAATGGGTAATTCCTTTGGATTTTTGTTCCCAAAACATAACAATCCCCGAAAATGCGGCATACCCAGCAAATTTCATCCGTCTTCCTTAATAACTGTTCTTGCTTATATATTTCTTTGGATTCTAGTACCAAGAAATCTACTGCTACATTATTTTCTACCTTTGTCGATGTACACCCCTCTGTGCATCACTAAGAAACGGAAGTTTAGCAGGGATGTCTGGAACATGTGAGTAGTTTAGTAATTGAGACTGAAAATCAACTGATAACCATAAATGTTGCTTATCTTACAATTTCATAGGGGGAATATTTTTAAAAGGTTTTTGAGATTCTCATACTAGGTAGTACAATTTTTAAAATGACTGCTATGTAATGGTGCAAATTGATGAATAAAATTATCCACAATATAAGAATTGCATTCGAATTGTCAGCCCACAAAAAAAAATATTTTATTTAAAACTACTTTCGACTGAAATATTCGCTAAGCAAATTATCAGAATGCAATCTAAATGCCATTTTTTTATTCTTCGGACAATTAGCTTCGGAATAGACACATATTGTGGAGCATAATGCTTTCCAATGAAAGGAGCGATGAGAAAATGGTAATGTTGCGAAAAAGGCTAAAATTGACATTTTTACAAAGTTTTAACACCTTGACCCGCTCTCCAGTATCATGAAGATGGCCAATTTTTATACAAAATATTGAAAATTGGATCCAAAGGTCTATCGGACCAATTCAAAGGCCCGAGTACAAAATTTCATTTAGACTTCGAAGTTGAGTCATTTATTTTAACAGTGAGTAGATCTGATCAAAAGAAATGTTTTTTTCCTTTAACATTTTTCTGGTAAAATTAAAGTAACAAAGTTATAGCCCTTTAGAGGTTTGAGTACCGCCCTGTCTCAATAATAATATTATGTGCTCGTGTTTGGCAACAACGGATATAATCCGACTTATCGGTCCATCGCATCGGAAACAAAAAAGCGAAAGAATTTGAAACGCTTATCACGATGTTTTTATTCAGTCAATGTGTCAGTCGGTAACGCGTGAGTGAATAGTGGTGTTTGCTGCGTGGCTCAAACGAAATAAATAATGGCACATGTTTATGCGGATCGGTTTCCCAATCAAGTGCAACCAACCCCTCGTGCCTTTGTTAATGTAGTACAAAGGGCTCGTGAATCAGGTGACTTAAGACCTCACAGGGGAGGGCATGCCGGTGCTCCAAGACCGCACGATCAAATACAGGTCCGCACTGAAATACTTTAGGGAGGATACTTTATAAAACAAGGTAACATTTTTTTTATTTTTTTTTATTTTTTTTTATTTTACACACATTTTGGTTTATCTTCCTTCTACAATCATTATCTGAAAATTACTGACTCAACTTCAAAGTATGTTACCCAACTAACAATCATCACTCCTATTAGAGTTGCAAGAACCCAACTAGCAAAGTAGTGTTATAGGCTTTTGGTAAAAGAACCGTTCAGCCATAAAAGCTCTCTATTGTTGTTGTGTGGAATGCTTTCTGCAACATATTTGCTCTAAAATGAGATGTTTAAAATATTCGTATAGCATAGTTATACAACACCTTATAGGACGAATTTTTAACTGTTGCATAAACAACTATTTTATACGGTATATTTGCACGTTAGTCAAAATGGTTGTGTTGTGGCATCCATGGTAACGTTTATAAAACAAACCGGAGCCTTGTTGCTTTGCTGTGCAATTTACTACTTTAGCCAACAAATTGTTACCAACGGAAGTACTTATACAACTGTTGTTTAGTAACTGTTAAAGGCTGTACATATGCTAAATATGTTGGTATACAACTTCACCATAACCTAACTTTCTGCTGTCATATTTTTGTTAAAATGCCATAATCAAAGTTTTAAGACAAACAACGCATGCATATTGGTTCAAAAGGTTTTATCAACTGTTCAAACAGAAGATATAGATCTGGTACAAATTCTGGGTGAATCATTCGACTCTGTCGGTATTTCATTTCAGACATTTGTCAAATTGTTGTATAACACCCGCAGGCAACACCAAAATATTCTAATAACCTAAAGACAACATGGACGATGCCATGATTATACACAACCACCCGCCATATTGGGCAAACATGTATTCCTCTATTTAATATTAAATAATTATGTTTCAGTTCGAAATTGCAGATATAACATTAGTGAAGTTGTATCTAAATATAGGATTTGTGGAAGATTTAACGCAGATAAGTTCAGTTTTCCATCTTAAAAATCTAGACATACTTTTGATCATTATCAAAATATGAATCAAATATGAAGCCCGCAGAAATAGCGTAACTATATACTTTGCACGATAATCACAATAAAATTTGCTGCGCAAGTAATTCAATAGCCCTATATCACAGTGTAGAAGTTTATCATATACCTGTGTATGAAATTCACAATGGCCGATATGTAAGTAAACAAGATGACAGTAATGTGTTAGTTATAAATTCTTCACTTCTTGTATACAATACATAAGAAATAGTTTGGTTGCAATAAAGTAGAATCACGTAACAGAATAGTTGTATAGTTGACAAAAACTGAATCTTGCACTGACGCAAATGTCCCATAGCGGCTGTAAGAGGCTTACACTTTTGTTGTATAACTGTTACCTGCAGCCCTTATACAACCTCTTAAATGACTGATGTGTCCTATTAAGTGTGCCCATTCCGCTTGTATAGGTGTTCTAAGAGGGTTTTTTCCAATGTTCTTACAGTATAGAATGCTGTGTAAGGAATACTGTATAATCATTATTGCAACTCTAATAGGAGTGATAATTGTTAGTTGGGAATGATTATACAGTCTTCCTTACACAACATTGTCTTCTGTAAGAACATTGGCAAAACGCTCTTAGAACAGCTATGCAAGCGGAATGGGCACACCTAATATGACACTTCAGTCATTTAAGAGGTTGTATAAGGGCTGCAGGTAACAACAAAAGTGTAAACCTCTGACTGGTCGGATTTGCGTACCATGCACAAATTTTGATTCCTGCGTGTGAATAATATCCGCCCTTAACGGCAAAAGCTAGAAACAGTTTGCCGAAATCGTTTTTGAGTGTCCTCCTGTTAACTGAAGCTATCCTACTAAGACCAGACTATTATGTTCCTTCGACTCAATTAAAAACAAAAACAAAATAGAAACATACACATTAACATACACAGATAGAATGGCAAAGCGTTCGCCGCCTATCTACACAATTCAAATTTAAAATTTAAATTTAAACACATTTTAAACTCGGGGATGGGATGGCTGGGATCCCGTGTCGTGTGTAGGAATAATATTTCTCCGTTGCTATAATTGATCGCTTCCAAGATAACGCTGTGTTTTCACTGCATTTAAGGATATTTTTCTTTTCCTCCGTCTGATAACACTAGCGCAGCGGGGATCTTAATTTTTAATTTTTCTATTTGCGAGCGCTGCAGTCTTTTGCAGCAAATTTTAGCTCATAGAAAATAAAACATCTTTATAAAGATGTATTTTTTCAAAGGACTCCCCGAATATTAACAATTTTGAAAGAATACAGAAAAGTGCTAAAACAGGACCTCTTTGTTTAAAAATATGGAAAATAATACATTTTATAGTAGTTTTATCTTCTAGTGCTGAGAATCACGGGCTTTACATGTGCATCAGTCGTACTCAAAATTTTTTTATACCGCGATGGCAGAAGCCAGAACAGGGGCTCTACGACTGCTATAAGGAGCTTACAGACATCCGACTTTTGATCAGTCCAAGGCTAGTAGAACTGTGAAAATCCTCCTCCAGCAGACAATCGACACCCTAGGGATAGAGGAGCGGACGTATCGGCCAATTCTGGAAGTTGAAAGTTCCGTACGGTTAGGACGGATAGCCGAAGTCAAGCAGGTTTACCTGGCAGGCCCATCGCGTGGTTTTGAATAACCTTACGTACCTCTGACTTGGAAGATTGACTTCTTAGCCAGATCCCTAGTGAAAACTCTCAATCATAATTTAAGGTTTTATTCGTAATCAATGTTACAGAATATATTTAAAGCGGATACATTATTTTTGATTTTCTAGTAACGGAAACCATGCTTTTTTCCAACCCTTTTCATAAGGACTCCAGTTGCTTCTAGAGTGTTGCTAGTTGCTACAATTCTTTTTCATTTTGAAAAGGGGATAATAAATTCAGGCAACCGGAAGACATTTAAGGAAATGTATAGGTACCAAGCCGTACTTGTAAGTACTTGGGGAAATTGCAGCATTACGAAAAACCTTTTTCCACTGTTAAAGCATGGTGGACGAGGAAGCTACATGTAGTGACTAAAGGTGGCTACAGACACAACTGCATGCTTGTCCAGCATGCTTGTTCAATCTTTTTGTACAAGTACGCTTGAATGTTTGTAGGGAAATGTGGTGCAAGCTTCATAATTGTATAAGCAGCTTGAGGATTGAATTGATTTTAATTATGCATGCTTGAATTAGGCGCGCTTGCGCAAGCAAAACGGTACGTGTGTACCCAAAATTGTCAAGTTTGCACAAGTTGGCGTCTCTCCTGTTGTGTTGAAAATATCGTGACTGGTCGTACGTAGTAGCATTTGAGTAATTTTCGTCATGACTAGTGATCTCAAAAAGGTTAACCGTGAATTATTGGAAGATTTTATTCGAGAATATCAAAATCAGCCATGTATTTGGCAAATTAAATCCAAAGATTATCATAACAAAGCAAAGAGGGATGCAGCGTACAGAAGATTATTACAAAAATATAGGTTAATTGATGTTAATGCCGACAAGGATGCAGTTGTTAAAAAGATAAACTCCTTCCGGACTAATTATAGAAGAGAAAAGAAAAAAGTTGAAGATGCAGAGCACTCTGGAATGGGTGCAGATGAACGTTATGAGCCCACACTCTGGTACTACCACCTGTTTCACTTTTTAGGAGATCAAGAAACACCTAGAAAATCAGTATCTAACTTGAACGAGAGAGAGGTAAGTTTTATTCTTTTTCATATTTATACATAAGTAGTTTATTTATTTGCATAAAAAGTCCACACACAATGCCATATTATTTTATTAATGTACGTAGTCGTGCCATAAGTTCTGTCCCATGATAATCTCATGATAAAAATGAAACAAGATAAGATATATTTATATGAAAGATATTATTTATTCGACAACATTTTTAGAATTCATAATCAAACAGTTTTATTCAAAATGTCCCCCCTTGGCCTTCACACACTGCTTCAATCTCGCGGGCTACTCATCTATCACTGCACGCACAGCTTCCAAAGGAATAGCTGCCGCTGATCGGATCAAATCCGCTTTCAGGGACTCGATATTACGGTGGGCTTTGGAGCAGGCCAACTGCTCTAGCAGGTCCCACAACTTGTAGTCTAAAGGATTGAGGTCCGGACTCCCTGAGGGCCAATCTTCCGCAGCAATGAACTCTGGCACATTGCTTTCCAGCCAGCGCTGCGTACTCTTAGCCTTGTGAGCGGGGGCGGAATCCTGCTGGTAGACCCAGTGTTGGTTGGCAAACAATGTACCACTTAAAGGCTTGACGATAGGATCCAGTATGTCGCTCTGATAGTTTGCCGCTTTTGTTTTCACGCCCTGTTTACAGAAATGGAGCTGAGTGACCCCTTCGTAGGACACCCCCCACCAAACCATGACTGGCGCAGGGTGGTGGCCTCTCTCAACTCTCGGAATGATCTCCGAAGCTTCCTGTGAACTCCTTGCATACACTTTGTCATTTTGTCGGTTGAATTTTTCTTCTATGGTGAAGATTTTCTCATCCGTGAACAAAATCTTTCGGAATCCCCCAGCTGCGTACCTCTCCAAGAGCTTCTTGGATCTTGTCGCCCTGATGTGTCGCAAGGTGGCCGTAAGTCGCTGGCCCGTACGTCTCCGGTAAGCCCCTAGCCCTAGGTCTTGTTTAATGATGCGCGACATCGTCCGGACAGGAATCTTCATTTCCCTGGATAGGATCTTCTGCTTCCGGAGTGGATTCCTTTGAATCCTGGCTTTTACGGCTTTGATGGCTGCTGGAGTCCTTACTTGACGAGGTCTTCCGCTTCTTGGCCTGTCATCAACAGAGGACGTCTCATTGTACCGCTGAATGGTCCTAGACACAAATTTACGCGATATTTGAAGGCCGCGTAAGAGTTCAAAAATCTGACTAGCACTGTGATTACACTTATGTAAAGCTATCACTGCAATACGGTTCTCTGCCTTGCCCCACTCCATCGTTATGCTTCGAGAGATCAATACAAACTGAGGTATATGTAATTACCCGAAAAGCGCTTAATCAACTGACACCACAATGTAAACAATCGGACAAGTATTAACAGGTCTACACTTGTTTGAAAACGAGGGACAGAACTTATGGCATGACTACGTATAAAGTTGTGTTGCCAAGGTACTGCTCCTTCATTGGAAAAGTAATTCCTGAATTCTTCTCTAACCTGTTTAGCATTAAATGGCGTATTTCCTGTCATATGGGACCTTTGTAAGGATGACATGTTAGAACTCTCAGAGGTCAAGCCAGCGCGAATCATACCACTTTCTATGTCGTCTAAGTGAAAAGAGTCCGGTGGAGCACAAATTTCTTTTACTGTCGACATTAAATAATTGTGTAAAGCACATGTTGCTTTCAATATTTCCTCAATGTGATATAACTCTAAATTGATAGAGGTGTGAAAAATTCTAAAGCGTGCTGCCATAATCCCAAAGACTTTCTCCAGGATTCTCCGTGCTCTGGATAATCGGTAGTTGTAAATTTTTTTTCCAATACAAGTTAAATCACTCTGTCTGTATGGTTTCAGCATGTCAGGCCTCAAAGAAAAAGCATCATCTGCGACAAAAACAAACCGTAGCTTTCGTGACTCATTTGCAACTTCTTTTTCTCCGGGAATGTTTAATAATTTGGCCTGAAGTCTTCTAAAAAATTCTGTATTCTGATACTCTGCCATTTGTACCGAAATCAAATAAAATAAATTTATAATTTGCATCTGCTATGGCAAGTAGAACTAAACTGTGTCTATGTTTGTAATTGAAAAAAAAGATCCACTGTTGACTGGAGGAATTATATCGATATGTTTTCCATCTAGGCTGCCAAGACAATGAGGGTAATTCCATCTCTTTTCGAAATCCTTTGCTATAGCAATCCAGTCGTTTTCAGTTTGTGGAACCTGGAAATAAATTAATATAACAATACAGAGATACTTTGTACAAAATAATTACAACTACATGATATCTAATAGTAGATGTTATATGTATTCATATTTGCTAAATATTATTTTCAGGAAGAAGTTGAAGCCCAACCAACTGAAAATTCTATAGAAAGTTTAGACCAACCCATTGAGGAGGATGAGTCAACAACACATGATGATACTGGCTGTCAAACAACTGAGGCCACACAATCCACCCCCAAAAAAAGCACCATTTCCCGACCACCTAAACGCAAAATTGACAAATGTGATTCTATGTTGGACGCAATTGAAGGCCACTTTAAAAACCTAAGTTAAAAGAAGATAGACATGACATTTTTGGGAAAAACGTCGCTCTGAAAATGAGAGACATAACAAACAATATTCAGAGATTGTTGGCAGAAAAAATGATTAACGATACATTATTCATGGCAGAAATGGGTCAGTTGACTCCGTCCCATCGTATTTGTGGTGAAACTAACAATACATATTCTACAGATTGTCCTTCACCTCAACAATTAAATACCAGTTACTCCCATTTCCCCTCAACTTTTCCTCAATCTCAGGTACATTATGAAACTCTTTCTCCAGTAACCCCCAATGATAATTCCAATCATTCTATCGCGTCCTATATTTCAAATTTTATTGTTATTTTGTAATAGTTTATTATACACATGTACCTACTTTTTGTAAATCTTTTCCTCAAAAAATTAATAAATAACTGAGTTTAAATAGTCCTATTACTCACCTTCAAATACCTGCCTCTTAACACCTTGTAAATGACATGGCAGGTTTCAGGAACTATATAACTTAATGCTTGTGGTGAAATAATAGTTGAATACTTCAGGTCTCCATAACTCCTCCCGGTTGCAAGAAATCGCAATGTTGCCTTTAATCTTTCATGTGGTGTTATGGCTTCTCTCATGATCGTATCCTGCTTTTGAATGAAAGGTGATACAAGAGACAAAAGGTTCAAATAGGTCTCTTCGTCCATTCTAAGATAATTGTGCCAGTCACGCGGATATATTTTCAGCTCACTTAGTAAGTTAATATGAGAATAGGTTTTCCTTTTCATCAACCATTCTTTACACCACACCGCATGCTTTTTCATTTTGGATTTTTTTTTCTTTACAAGAACAAAAGCGATCAAAGCGAGCGCATCGTCGTCCGAGCTCGACATATTTCATTAAACTACCTCTCCTTTTATCGAGCATACTTGTACGTGTGGTGCCGAAGGCGATTTGAGCATACTTGTACAAAAAGCTTGAATGAGCATGCTGGATAAGCTTGCAGATGTGTTTGTAGCCCCACCTTTATACGTGTGCACCACTGTGACGTGGCTCAATGCGTAAGCTACTATTTACATTTGGCAGTAATGGGAAATAAAGTTGATGATTGGGGATAGGAAACGAAACTTTACATTGAAACTCTGTGTGAAGTTTGGGTCAACAAGGCTACTCCTGAAAAAAGGCCACCGTTGTAACAGAAACGACAGCCGTATACTACAGTGTGATTTCTAAATAAGTGATCTCTTTCTCTATCTGCACGATAACTTTCAGATGTTACATTGAGATTCTAATCATGCCGCCGTGTACATGAGAAAATGTGGCAATGCTAATGAGTAATTTATTTTGAAATTCGAAGTCAAATGAAGTCACGCAGAAATAAAAACATTTTTGGAAAAGTAATACTCCAAACTTTGTATCTATAACCGTTTTCGATATCCCAATGGTAAGAGTTGAACTTGAACGGCGCTGGATTAAGACGTCTTAAAATGTATGTGAAACTCGTTGCTATAATCTTTGTAGCATTCGCCGCATAAATAAGAATCACTCGCTTACCTGGTGCTGGACTCCACTGAAGAACCCTAATGAGGACAAGACGGTGCTGTCTACAACTAGTTGAAGGGATATCAGACATCATCATCTTATTGTTTATATATAAGCCAAAAGCATCGTATGTAACAATATATAAGATGGAGGCTTCAAATTGAATTGATCAGACATCATATCAGTGTCAACCGAAATTAACTTTCAGGGACCAAAATTAAATTTAACAGCATCTATCTTAGATATCCCAGTGCTGTCAGATATCACTTAACGTATGTCATGAAAGTGTTGGCAAAAAATATTTCTCGGATTTTTTTCAATGAAAAAATTTATTCAAACATTAACCAGCTATGATAAATTACAACTCAATACTCAACCCAAATCCACTTGTAGGTACTTTTTCTTATTTCTAATTTATACGACATCTTAAAGCAAAAACTTCAAAATAAATAAATGTCAGCTGACAGTAAAGTAAGTAAACAAACGTTTGTTTCCAAAGGCAACTTGATATTTTTTGTGTTTGTTAAAATTGAAGTCAATGAATTTTGTGTCAAAACTTTTAGAACGTACGTGATTTTCCGAAAGATCGAACGTGAGGCTTTGAATAGCCTTTATATCAGTTAAGTTGGATAGAAGGGTGATGATCAATTAGTACCAGGAGAGAACGGTTAAGTGAAAATAAGGCTAAATTAAAAAACTCTGATTACATACATTGTAAAACATTTTGATACAATAATATTCAGCACTGCTAGACATTTAAACAAGGTGTATCCCAATATAACTTGATCTATTTGTATCATAGCCTGGAAGAAGGTGGGATATAATGTTTATAGATATATAGATTTTTTGTATACAAGACCTTCCAGAAGAGACCTATCTAATAAAGTTTGCAAACGGGATATTCTGTTTTTATACCAAAGAGACATTGCATAAAAAGCTTTATATTGGACTCTGTAACATTCATCCGAAATCAACTAGTCATACTTAGGAGGTACGCAGGTGTTGAAAGTAGATATAAACGCTATTCCAATGCCCATATTTTGTCTTTCAGAAGATAAGTAATGTTTAGTGTCCCTGGTTTCTTGGACTATTAGAACTATCACCATCAAAGATTCTATTGGAGGTATAAAGTAGCATTCCCTAAATAAATATCTTAACTGACTTTTTTCCCAGCAGCTGTTGAAACTGTGAGTCTCGACATAAATCCTCGTCTGAGCCCAATAGACCATATTTTCCGGTCATTATCCATTTTCTCACAGTAAACTGGACTGTTTTACGGCTCCGTGCCAGCTCGGTCCATCAGCTCTGCTACTCGTAAAAAAATTGGGGGTCAACCAAGGGTGGTCGATTGGATAATAAAGACGTAGCACGCGTATAAGCACGACTTGCCTTGTCAATTCGCTCAACGTGTTAAAGCTGTATTTTTAGCTTTTTGATAGGCTGCATTTTACCTCCACAGGGAATATGACAGAAATACGTTTATGGATGTTATTCAAACCGTATCGAAATATTCTCTTTGAAACGGTGCGTGATACATATACGAAATGACATTGGTGTGTACTAGCGTAAGAAACTTATAGAGTAGATTAAAGAACAATAGCTCCTATTATTATAAACGTGAAAGTGTGTATGTATGTATGTCTCATTTTCATGCCAAAGCAGAATTCGATACGTTTCAGCACGTTCATAGAATACCTCTTTTTTGGCTTGTTTAAAACGGATTTCGCAATAGGGCTTGAGTAAGGGGGCCAACGGTGGATATATGTAAGAGCGAAAATACACATTAATTACGAAATCTCGTAATGCAGTTTGCTGCTCCCTCTGCTAACGAACACAACCGTTACCTCCGAGAGTATAAGGCCTGACAACAGACGCGTGACGTCACCACGAGTAGGCCGGCCCGCCCGACAGCACGGCATGCTGTACATCAGCGCTAGTGAATAATATATTATTATTGCAGCATATTTAATATACTCTACCTGATGTAAATGATGGATAATTCAGAAAAGTATTTTTGGTATATGGAGGAAACTTGGTGGAAAATATGAAAGTATAACTACTTTACTATTTTCACCCTGATGTTATAAAAACTTGCTAAAAATGATAAATTCTTCAATGACACACATAACCCCATGTTAGTCACAACCCATCAACAAAATTGCACGGGAATATGTGGACAATTTACTATTATTATAGGCATAATATACTGGTACTTGAAAATTACATAAAAAATGTAGTGGTTGTTGACCAGTTGTGTCCAGCAAGAACCAACGATGAGGTCTGAGATTAGCTCTTGCCAGGAAAGGACTAAGGAAGATGAGGAGGAAAAAGTGTAGGATAAGAAAAACAGATAAAACCAAAGTAAAATAGACAACAGAAAAAACATAACAAATATTAACGAAAACTTTCCATTTGGTTCAATGTTTTAAGAGATTTAAATGAAGCAACATTTACCTCATGTGCTTCAATATCTGGGTATGTTAAAATTTAGTCTGGTTTTGAATTCAGCCAATTATTGCGGATGCATTTTAGAAGGTGCACTGTAAAAAGCCGCCACAAGCAAGTCTTACTAGTTTTGCACCCGATTCCTATTATCTTTTTTTCATACAACCGCTGTGACATTCATTTTTTCCCTGCACGGCAAGTTTTCAATCGAGTATAAATACCGTCTGTCATTGTTTTTGCATGTTTCCGATAGCTCATGGGATTGTAGTGCGTTGAGACTACTTCCTTATAAGCTTGACTTATAGCGTAAGACGTCAGTGAAACATGAAGAATAAATAAGTTCAAGATTATGTAAAAAGTAGTTCTTCATTATTTCAATTATCAATTTATTTGATGTTAATTCTGCATGTATCAGCCTGTAATCATCTTCAAGAGCGTGAAAAAGTATAACTTTTGGCCTCGGAGTGTTAATTTCCCAAATGTGTCTGTGAATTTCTTCAAAAGTCTTATGAAAAGCATTTTTAGTAGCTTTTTCTTCGAACCTGGCTGTAAATATTTCGGAAAGCTGCATCAATATATTAGTGATAGTAGACCATACTACTATTATTCACAGATTTATCTACAAAGAGAATTTAAATAAGTGATATATTATATTTAAATGATACCTCTGCTTATTTTGAAACATCAAGAAGGTTGACTCTGCATTTCATGGATAATAGCATAAGTTTGAGTGGAAACCTCTTAAGGTAAGTTTTGAAGATATATCTGTTGAAAACGTTTCCAAGATCCTCAACAGTTCTATCTACACTTGAATGGTTCGTGAAGTTCAAACCAACTATCTTGATGCCATATGTCCCACTCTCCAATACTTACCCTGTAAAAATTTTGATGTTTGTTTGTTTGCTGATTTCATGTATTGCAGCACACTATATATCTACCAATAATTCATAGCGTTTCTATCGTTTCTGTTCAACCTCTTTCTTTAGCCAACTCGTCCAGTGAAACATTCATCCAGCTATCCAGGCAGAACATTTTTTGAAACAGCTGCCTACACAGATCATTATCATCTTTTGTCATTCTATCATGCGGAGTAGTGTCTATAACTTATGCCATTCTTGACATTGTTAGTGTCCTCCATTTAAAGACTGATAAAAATATTTGGGCTATACTTTTGAAAAAAAACCTGAAAGTTTTAGGACAGCAGTTCTGTAAAATACGAAAAAATAAGAAATGTGTAATCACATCTTAGCTGAAAATAGATATGTTGGAAAAACATGCACCTAATAGAAATAGTAAATACCAAATATGATTTAAAATTAAAGTTATAATAAGTATATCATTATCATCGATATCATAGTTCTTCACCATTCCTGAAATATCCAATTTGCAAGGACATCATTAAGACTTGTTCGTATACCTCGCCGTGCCCCCACATCGCAGAGTGCCCAAACAAAATTCCCTAACATTTCCCTAGCTACTCGCTACTTCCGACCACTTATTTGGAGTTATCTGACTCAAACGTTTTTCATGGAGTGCAGGTTTTATATGCCTAATATGAGTGTCTATACTTTAAAGGCTTCCAACTGTATGATAGCATTTTGTTATTCTTTTTCATTTTTGTTAGCTTTAACTTTCTGTTGAACCGACGCTTATTCCTAGCTATCCCTAATTATCTAAATGGGGCACCCTGTCTGTACGAGGGCAGGTTTATCAGTTTCGCAGCTCTGGCTCATAGCTGTGAACCCTACACCAATAAGAAACCCCTAAATGCACTTACTTTTCAGCAAACTGCTCCAGTCCCTGGAACAAGTTGAAACAGCATGAGTATACAAGTACTACGTTATTAAAATTCTCACTCTCACTCTCAGGGTAGGTAAGGCAGATAGAACAATTTTATCGAGAGTTTTCGCACGTTAATTATAAGTAAAGACTCTTGAATGTGGTAAGTCCACATACCAAATTATAGTTCATTCCAGTTGGCAGTTTTGAGGATATTGAAAAAGTTTTGATTTTTATTTTTAATGAAGCCCTTGAGGAAAAAAAAATGTTCCAAAGAAGACACCCCTTAAAATGCGGTCGTGTGTGTGATTATGGTCACGACTTGTGAATCACCCTGTATACTCTTTTTTACCACCCTGTTTATTAATTATCCTAGTATCGAATGAAGTAAAGTAGATCTTCGGTGATATAACCGTTACAATCGTGTGATAAGAAGACAAATATAATAAGATTTTAAAGTATTTATCGGGCTGCACGTACGTTTTCAAATTTTCTATTTGCCCTGTACGTACCTTCGGAAATAAGGTGTTTTTCGAAAACGTTTTTAGGACAAAGTAACCTTCGAATAGACTAAAGAACTAGTCTTTGATTTTTTAGTGAACATACTGCCAAAAAAATACCACTCCGTGAACTTAAGAGTGATGGGTTATGTTATCAGAATTTTTGAAATTGAGGACATAGACAACGTGTTACAGGAAATAACCTTCCAATTCGTACTTTTGCTGCCACGTAGTGTATGCAAGCCTATATAAAGATACAACATAGATACAGTGCAATGAATAGCAAATCTTGAACCTACCTAGTTTGCCGTGAACACATTCATTTTCCCCTGGAAGATCAGAAGAATATCCAATTGATAATCACACATTTTTACACACAATTACCACCAAGTCACAATACACTCTTCATCATCACCACACCGCGAGTAATCACCGACAAAGGAACATTACAACAAGAAGTAGCTTAACCGACGAAGCAGAGCGTTGAACGGAGCTATCGACGCAACGTCGTCCAGTCGCGCCGAGCACCGACCGAAAACTGAAGAGGAGCGCGCTTGTCGTAGCGACGCGGCGTCGTCGACGCCGACGAAGCGTACGCCGGTACCACTATCGTCATGTTGCGCCGTCATTGGTTTGAATTTCTTGGGCGCCTACGTGAAAATCAAGCGTCCGGATCACAAAACACATAAGACTGAAGAAGTGCGAACTGCACGTTAAACAATGGCAGCACCGTTGACGTTTGTCAGATGGTTGCGCCGCCTACTTCCCTGGAGGAACTATCTGAAGTCGGTGTTGCATTATCTATGTCATTTACCAAGCATGCTTTTTGTAATTCTAAAGAATAGGGAACCTCGCCTTCGGCTCGTACGAGCCAAGATAATTTTTTGAAGTATATTTTTTTGGAAACGCCTCATTAATAGGGTGTTCATGCTGAGGCTAGCAAAACATTGATAATTTTACAACGGATATACTATGTAGGTGATTTACATTTTTTCTCGGCTGCTTCGGCATAAAAAAAGGAATCGATTACAAAACACCAAATACACTATGAAGTATTTTATTAACACAATTACATTACAATTGAGATACAGGGTCATGTAAAAGCTTTGCAACATACATAACTGAAAAATAAATAATCAAAAAAATTAACTTAAAATATAATTATGTGAATAGTACAATATGCGTCTTATTATGTCGTAATTTTTCGCTCAGTAAGGCAAGCAAACCAAACATTCGTTTCATAGTGTAGTGAACATTTTTTGAACCATCTTCTAGCTTCTCGGATTTGCTTGGTTTACCTTACAGGATCCAAAGAAAAAACATTTCCTACATTCCAGACTATTCCTAAATCAGTAGGTTTACATCAGAATCAGATCTACAAAAAGCATGTTTGAGATTCAAGTTCGAAATTGTTTATGCTGTGCTAACACAGGTGCTAGGTTGTCTCAAATTTTATACCTCTTTTATGTATTCTTCAAGGCTGAATACCAGTTTTCACGAGGTGTCGTTGTGAACAAACGATATTACATAAAATATTTTGAAATTTTGAAATTTGGAGTTTAATATTGAACAAATTCTGGGAATTTTGAGAAAAAATGAATTTCAATTTTGGAAAAAAATGTAAATCTTGAAAAAATTATATCAGCAACAAATTTTGAAATAATTCGGATTTGAAAAGTTGGAATATAATTCGGGAATTTGGAAAATAATTTGAAAAATTGAGAATTTTGAAAAAATGTGAGAATTTCGGAATTTGAAATTTTTTTTGCATATTTTAAAATTTGAAGAGGAATTTGAATTCAATAATTGCGAAAAAAAATTGGAATTCTTTTTCATTCATCATCAATTAATACTTGTAATTTTATAACGCTCAAGTATAAAATCAGGATGAAGGTTTCATTCTGTAGCAAAATAGACTGTAAATAAAAAATAACTAAGCGATATCTGAAACACCTAACATATTCCCTATTACTCGTTCTAAACGCAAGACTTACAACTTGTAATATGCAAAGTCTTGGCACATATTCCATTTCTTACAGCTTCCTGGTATGTTTCCCAAGAAATTAATCCACCATTAAAAAATAACCAAGGTTACACCATATTTTTGCGGAAATTGAAATGTTTTTTTTTTTCAGTAAATGATTACCGAGGACAAAATAGTCTTGAAGTACTAAAAAAAGATAAACCAACCCTGTATGCTCATTACCACCGGGAGGACAAGGTCTGACAACAGACGCGTGACGTCACTACGAGTAGGCCGGCTGGCCGACAGTACGGCGTATACATTGGTACTAGTGAATAAGATATGATTATTTATTGCAGCATATTTAACATACCCTACTTGATGTAAATGACGAATAATTCAGAAATGTCTTTTTGGAATATGAAGGCAACTTGGTGGAAAATATTGAAGTAGTTATTAACTATTTACACCTTGATTTTCACTGTTATATCATTCAACATTACGTGCACATTTGAGTAATAAGTTGATCTTATAAAAGCTTACAATATTTTGCTAGAAGTAATAAATTCTTCTATGACATAGATAACCTAATCAATAAAACCATATTCTCCTCAACTGGTTTTACATATCTGAAAAGGTTCTTTGCATAGCCTGAAAAGATAAGTCCCTCATCTGGAACTGGACTGACGACCAATGTACAAATTGACTTCAGAGTATTTTTGAGTGGTAAAATAAGTCCTACATGACTCCTAATAAATCTATATGAGTGTGGAATGATTGTATACAACATAGAACCGAACATTATTTTTTTTTGAGGGGTAACTGTGTCTAAAAATAGAGTCTTTAATATTACCCGAGTTGAGTGTCAGTTCTTGGGAGTACATTGTACAGCCAGGTCTTTATCAACAACTAAAGAATGTTGATAAAGGTAGGTTTATATTTGAACCTTATCCTGAACAACTTTATGCCACTCATCTGGAGATTGTCATGAACTGAAAACTGCGAAGGTCTGAATAATTTTGAAAACTTGTTGATTTTTGTTAGGAGGTATACTTATCAATGCTATTTTGCAGTGATTTAAGTACACAGGTCCTTGTCCGCCAATTTCAATCACTTTCAATCACTAAATCACTACCAGGGATGGCATTGAGCCATCTTATGTGCCCGTTTTCATTCACGGGGAACGGAACCTTCGGACCTTTCGCGTAATTACCGGCACAGTTATGAACGCGGCACTTGTAAGGCATTTTGAAAACTTAGGGAAACAATTGCGATACACAAATATAAGTTTAAAACAACAATAATAAACATAAATATTCATACATGATAACAGCCCCAAAATTTGAGACTAGCTGCTATGTTGCCACATATTCCATTTCTGCAGATATGTTAGACTTCACACGTGACAGATTGAACGTAATATCGACAATGTACTCTTGACATACTGAGGCAGATCAGAAAAAATTATTGGATCATCATTGAAGCTGCGCAGGCCCCGAGTATACCTTGCCAATTCGCCCACAGAGAGGTATAACTAGTTAGAAGAGATTTCGATACTGCCATATCATACACAGATATATCAACACCGCTCTTACCAGCCACATAAGAATATGAACTGGCCACTTAGCGTGACGTCACAGAATTTTTGCAGCTGAGTTGTTAGGCCTTGTTATGACAGTGAAAACTTTTGCTTATGTTCAGAAGTAGTCAAAAATACTTATTGGAAGACCCAAGATGTGCCGGGAAGTCTAGTTCACCATGAATAGTGCCATCAAGTAGGTTGACACTGCACTTCCTACGCAACGCCGTTATCAGTTCCTAAAGGGTTCAGCTGAAGTTAGATCCTCTGAGAAAAAAGTTAGTTTCAAACAAATGTAACAAATAAATTTAGCATATGAATGTCGAAATAATAAGGTTGAAATAGTTTAGCTGAATAAATAAAATTATTTTATATCCCCAGTTTCAGCTTCCATGCAATCTACTCAAATGAAAGATTAGTCTGTTATCACCTACATCATTTCCAACTCGCTCTGATGAACCTTCTATAAAATTATATGCTAATATAACCTCAATTTGCATACTACACTCTCGTGAAAATCCTCCCCCCATCTAAAGTTGAAATCTCTCTGTATATTTTAATACTTCCAGAAGACTGAATCCGACTATTCAGGTAATTTTTAGGGGGCTTTTGAGGGTATACAATACCACAGAAAATAATCACCTTGAAATAAGATCAAATTGCCATTTGAAAGTTGCAAAACGGAGACATGGATTATTAACATAGTTGTACTGGCACAATCTTAGCATTCTATTGCAATGCTGTTTTATTCAGGAAAATCGAACCACCGGAGAATTATTGGTTTATCGGTTATGACATATATGACAACTGACAACCTTAAAAATGCCTAACCTCAGCGGCAGATATAAAAAAACAAAGAGAAAAACCAATTGTTTGATCAGGCCGGTTATGTCTTACACTATTTCCTCGTAAGACAAACAACGTGGCTCCTTTTAATTACAAAGTACTATTTCCTGCGTTTCATATCCATAAACAATTCATTTGCAATATTTTCGTTGAAAACTGCATAACAATCTACTAGAGTCTTACGACCACAGTTGTTGGTCGGTTTTTGCGTTTTTTTTCTTTGAGTTCTTTTGGAGTCTTCGGGACGATGGTCGACGGTGACGTAACTGGTACATTAAAAAATGACAGATAACAGCATGGTCGCTTGTCGATCTGAGCGTCCATTTTCATGTTTGGACCTCACGCAATCTTAGCATGTTACAGACCTTTCAAACTATTATAGTAACACCTGGAAGAAAGAAAAACAAAACATCTTGTCAAACATGTGTCAATTGTACTGTAGAACGTCGCCGTACATACAATAAAGAAGAATCTTAAACACATCATGTAGGTAGTTTGATTTTCCAGACAAACATGGGGGACTATCGTCATGAAAACTACAGGGTAAGTTTCAAATGTTACAAAAGTTGGAGTGCTCAGTTTTGCTACTGTCTCATAGATGGCGCAGGTCATTCAATCCCTTTTTGATGCCTCTCTAATACCTGTTTTGACTGAGTATCTTTAGATGTAATACGTTAATCAATATTCGAAGGTACCCAATTAAAATATGCATTGGAGAGGTGTCAATATCCAGCGCCATCTATAAGGCTGTAGCAGAACCAGACACTCTAACTATTTTCAAAGAAGGTTTCTGAATCAATGTCTGCGTTCTGCTACTGTCTTATAGCTGGCGCTAGTGTCTTTCAGATCTCTTTTGGGGAGCCAGATTATTGTTTATGGTTGGTTTATATATTATAGGTTAACATTTTCGTAGCTATCTCGCTCTAGAGAGTCTCTGTCAAACAGACGTTACTTTTTGGCGCGTCTGTTAGGAAAACTAGGTTTTGTAGACCAGACAAATAACGTCAACTGTTTCATATAGACGAAAGGTTAGTTGATTACCTAAATAGACTCCATCTCGCTTGGCCGACTCTTCCCATAAAATTATATGCAAAATAGCCTCAATTTGCATCCTACACCTTCCAGAAATTTCGCTTCCCCCAAAGTTTATTATCTGCTAAAAACTGTTCATATATCGCAGAAGTTCCAGACGCATAGTGATAATATATTATCACTATATATGGTGAGCTCGTATGGTATGGTATAAAGCACCATAATTACACCGTATCCTCCTTCACATATGCTGCTTTATTCCCAGATCCATTTTAGTTATTGCATCTAGCTGACAGTAACGGTTACATTATTACCGTTAAGTTGGTAGAATTGCTTCCAGCAGCCCGTTTCTATGTAGGACACGTTTTGAACACTAGTGCACGTTGGAGAGTGCAAGCTCAGGAGTCGAAACTGTTTTACTACTATCAGAATCTATTTCGCATTGTAGTATTGTTCTTTGAACTTATCCTTCAACCATGCAGGGCGGATGTATAGAGGCGGAACATGGACCTACGGCGACTGCGATATATATATATATATATATATAGGTGAAAAATTAAAGCTTCCGCCTTTTGTTGGGTACTTCGACAAAATTTAAGCAAAGAGGACTCTTTATACTTTTTTAATTCTCTCTAGTTTTCAATGGACTTTGCCATCATCATCAGGAGCTGCAATTACAATGATAACAGTAGCAACAATAG